GTTATTTCCTATGTACATTTGCTCAAGTGACGCAGAAAGTTTGAATTGGAAGATGCAACTGTAGAAGAGTATTTTATTACAAGAACAACTTCAACAACAAATATCAAGAACAACAAATGCAACAACAAAAATGTTCAAAATAAAAAATAATATTTTTTTATTTTTATTAAAATGTACCAGAATAGATGTTTAGATTTTTATGACTTCCAAGCATTCAGAAATAGTGTGCCATTTTGAGACTATAACAAGCAGGTCGAGAATTTGAAAACGTTTAAGTCATTTATGTTCGACTCTGCCCCAGAATGTTATGTTAGAAAGAACATGGGATGTGTCTTTAACAAACCTAAGAGCAGACATAGTGTTGTAACAAAGAATGTAGACAGAAAACTTAAGACAAATAAAAGGTCGTGACAAGTTGGCAATGAAAGTTAGATGTCTGGGGATATCTATCTGTCAAAGTTAGAGAAGAATTTTTCGTCGAGGGTATAAAGTTTTATACCACTTCTCCAAACTTCTATTCTATCTTCACTGGATTATAAATATGAACAAGGTAGAATGGAAAGAAAATATTATAGTAAGCTTGGTAGACCATGTCAAAGAATTAATATGCAATGGAAACCGAAAAGTTATGAGTTTCTTATTGTTGGTCTTGCAAACATGGTTAACTACATTCCAAGTTGCCTAAATATGAAATGCTCTCATAATAATTGAAATCAAGGAACAGTTCGTAAGAACACATTCTTTACAGATATCTTATGCAAACTGTTAGAAGGTTATTCGAACGCAATATTGACATTTCAGAAAAACATCGTGGCAAGTTTAACTCCTTCAATATGAAGAATATGAAACGCTTATAGTTTGCCAATGTAACTTCAACAGTATACGATACACAAAAAGTTTTTGAACTCAGATGCTTGAAGTAGTCTTATAACAGACAAAGTTGGAGTTGTTGAAAGAAAGGTATACAAGACTCAAAGAGTTTGAAGAATGTTGCACAACTTACTTATGGTTTCAAACACAATGCTGTTCCGATGAAGTTAGAAAGTTTCTGACGCAAGATATGTAGTTGTCAGAACGTCCAAGTATTCCATATGCAAGATTACTGAATATTTTGACGACTTAGCAGAAACTTTGACATCATAGTTTTACAACCCATCTTGTTCTCAATATTTCATGACATTAGAGTATTCTGTTCATCCAAGAAATTCCCAATACCAAAAGAACAACATTCGTTTACAACAGATTACTATGCTTCATAACTTAAATCCTCTCCTCTCACACCCCCCACCAACACATAAAAAAAACAATTAACATCAGACATATACACAACCCAGGAACAAACAGCAGAAAAACACAAAGAAACAGGTCACGGTCGCACCCTCGTGAACTGATCAATCACTTTTTTCTAGTTTTTAAAAATTATCATAAATTCAATTTTTATAATGCTATTATAGTTTACAGCCTTATCCTCCTAAAATCATCTCATCCCATCTTAGCCGGATCGATACAGTATACGTCTAATGTTGTTGTGAAGGAGAGATGGTATGTGGAATTTGTCTTGGATTGAACTTAGAAATATCTAATGTCATGAAATATGAGAACAAGTGGTTTGTAAAAGTCAGATGTCAAAGTTTCTGCTAAGTCGTCAAAATATTCTGTATCTTGCATATGAGAATCTGACGTTCTGACAACTACATATCTTCTGTCAGAACTTTCTAACTTCATCGGAACAGCATTGTTTGAAACCATAATGAAGTTTGCAACATTTTCACAAACATCTTTGGTCTTTATATTTCTTTCAACAACTCCAACTTTGTCTGTTATAAGACTCTTCAAGCATCTTAGTTCAAAACTTTTGTTGTTTATTACTTTGAAGTTCATTGCAAACTATAAGTTTCATTATTTTCTATTGAGGAGTTAAACTTGCCACAGATGTTTTCTAAGTTTTGTCATATTCGGATTCGAATAACCTTCTAACAGTTTGCACAAATATCTGTAAAGAATGTGTTCTTACCTGTTCCTGTTTTCCAATTATAATGAGAGCAGTTTCATTTTAGCACTTGGATGTTGTAAGATTTTGCAAACCAACATAAGATATACTCATAAAACCTTTTCGTTTCCATTGCATATAATTTCTTTGACATGGTCTAACCAAGCTTCTATAATATTTTCTTTCCATTCTACTTGTTATATTTATATCCAGTGAAGATAGAATAGAAGTTTGGAGAAGGTGTATTAACTTTATACCCGAACTGAAAAACTTTCTAACTTTGACAATAGATATCCCAAGCATCTAACATCTTCATGCCAACTTGTACACTTTTATTTTCTTAAGTTTCTGTCTACATTCTTGTTCAGAACTATTGTTGCTCTTGGTTTGTTAAAGAACATCCCATTCTTTCATGACATAACATTCTGGGCAGAGTCACATAAATGACTAAACGTTTCAAATTCTCGACTGCTTTGTTATAGTCTCTAAATGGACACATATT